AATTTTGATCTCTTCCGACAATGCAATCGAAGCAAACTGGCACAATAACTAGCCTTTATGGTAACAGTTTAAGCTGTAGTAGTCGGCGCCAAGATATTGTTATTTAGAAAACAATTGTCGCATTGTGCATTACGCCTTTATCGACAACGTTAATTATATGTATAACAACGGTAGCAATTAAATATTGCACTACTACAAGGCATTGAATCTTGAGTACGACAAAATATTGTCGTAACTTTGGAAATATTTACATTGTGCATATAATTTAATTAAATAATTTACACGCATATAGTAATTAACTTTATATTTCCTAATATTACACGCCTTTTTCTTCTGTTTCGATAAAGATGCCGTCTATGTCAATTGCTTGGAAATTACGAACAACTTAAAATGTAAAACTTTAAAAGTTATCCACTGATAAGAAGCGAAAAATTTATTTGTTTGTCTACTACTCAACGGTACCGGAGAAAAAGCAGATAATTACACTGTGCAAAAAAAACCCTCCTTGGCAGTAGATTACCCGAGACTTTGTTCTTTGTATGTAGGGAGCAATTTTCAATTAGTATTACAGTCTTTAACATTCGAAGCAAAGGCGATGTTTAGTCAAACACATAATTTCCCATTTTACAATGTTTTTTAAAAATTACTTTGCTACGTAGAATATTTAAAACATATTTTAATTAAAAAAAAAATAAAATAAAATACTGTGCTACTCTTTCCTATATTCCATACGTTCTATAAATACCTCTTACGGAAAACTTAATAAATAAAAAGACTTACAGCGCACGTTTTTATAGGGTTATATGCCTGTTCCAAGTACTTTTTCAAATACACATTATTAGCTCACATACGAAAGAGTTATCAATATACCACAGTACATTTACTAACACAGTTTTGATACAACAATTGCGTGCATTGTACACTATACACGTATATACCTACATGTGATAACAAATTTGCTTTTGAACAGAAAAATAGCTTATCATTATATAATCGTTATCGTGAACCAACTACCCCGCAACTTGTGAAAACGTTACATACATTTTCCGATAATGATTATAATCAGTCAGCAGCTGGTTTTAAGCATGACAGATTGCATTAAAGTTTTCAAAGACGAATGCACTTTGTCTAAAAAAGGTTTATATTGATATTTTATAACATATAAATGCGTTATTGCGCAATTACATCAAATATAATACAAGAGGAACGGAGCAAAGTTTCTTATAACAGATATTTAATTGGCACTTTTTATTTAATAGTTTAGAAACCATGTCAAATGTTTGAATTACAGAAGAGTTAGTAGTAGGATAAAAATTTAATTTTTGGCAATTTCAGAAACACTTGCTTTTCTAAATCGTAGAAACTTGACACTTTTCGATCATTATTAATATTCTTGTAGGCTAATTTAGATTTTAAGTTGGATATTTATTTGGTTAACAAGAGTTAAAACTTCTTGTAAATTTGAGTGTTATTGTGAGCCAAAAGCTGAACATTTAACCAATAAAAATGTGTAAATATTGTCATATTAGAGTTACAAATTGCTAAATTTTCTGGTAGTTGCGTATCGAAATAACTAGAACTCGTTTATTTAATGAATTACTGCATCAAATGTCTACAAGTCATCCTAAACTACGCATCAAAATATCTATAAGTCATCGTAAATAACTACGCATCAAAATATCTATAAGTCATCCTAAACTACGCATCAAAATGTCTATAAGTCATTGTAAACTATGCATCGAAATACAAAATGAGAAATAAATGTTTAAGAAAAAGTCAAAGACAACGATTGATATATTATGTCTTTGTTTACAAGGCCCACCCGGTCGGTGTCAAACTGTTTATCCGCAGGCAGTTGGTGATGTTGCTGTTCATGTTGTCTTGTGCACGTGCGGCGCGACCGGAATCGTAAGCGGCGGCGTTATGGAATGTCTTGCCGCGCAGGAACTGATTCCAAAAAATTTCGGTTTTTGGCATACGGATGCTAAAGTGTGAACAGAAAAAAGGTGTTCAACCTTTTAAATGCGGTTGCCAAAATTATTGATGACAAGAACCCGCATTCATTGGCCTTTAAGATTGGTATGACCACAAACGGGACCACACTCGACTCGGTAGTTCTGCTTTTCTGTTGTTTCCGGTTCTTGGAAAAACTTTTAGCATTGGTGCTTGCAAGCTTTGAGAGAGAGTCTTCCGACGTTCCGAGTGTTGGACAATTTTGATGCGACATGTTGGAAAAATTCGTTTCGGTTTTGTAAAAATGTATTGGGTTTGATGTTAACGTCATGAGCGTTTGTGTGAGATAAGTCAGTCTTTGAACGCCAATTTATAAGAAAAAATTGTGTATGTACGAGATTTTTTGATACAGATTACCATTCATTGATCATCTGATGGTTGAAATAACGTTGGGGGAAATTGTGTGACAAACAGACATGTGAAAATCAGAGGCGATCGTAATGAGCGTTGCACGAACTCTCGCAATTTACAAGAAAACATTATGGTAATTGATGCCAACTTTTTGATGATGAAGTCTGTCGCGTTCGATAGGCCGATTAATAAAGCCATCCTTGTATCTTTTACGTATACGCATTTTCTGAAGGAATTTTTAAATATACCCCCCTCCCCCCCTTGCAACTCGGATAATGTAGCATTTTATTTTAATAATAATTTTGTACCCCTGCACGTTGAAAATATTGGGGGTGTGTGACTATGACAAACAAGGTTTGACAAAAAGACAATGTTAATATCAGCTATGGCATATCGTAATGGCATTGCTACAAAGTCGTTTTCAGCAAATAGATTGCTACTTTAAGACTATTCACTCATTACGTGCATACCAAAAAAGCTAAATAGTTTTTCCGTTCCTCGTAAAGACGTTCCCAAAGTATAATTCACCCTGCAACAAGAAAAAAAAATATACAGCTTATAACTTTATCCACTTATGAAGTAAAGGTTATGCCCGAATCTCAGGTCTATTATATATTGACACTATGTAATTAATGAATATACCAAGTTTGTGAGAACAACGTACATTCTCAAATAGTTTGTCAAAAACTTGAGCTGTAAATTCCAGCATAAATCGACCGCTCACCACAACCACATTTTCACAAATAAAGTAGCCCAGCTATATCTATCAACTCTCGATCAGGTCCAACGCCCATGAATAAAGTCAAAATTTGTGCAGGTTGCCAAAATAACGAATTAAAAAATAATCATATTCAGACTCAAATAAACCTCATGTCAGTACAGGAGAAACGACAAAAGCATCGAAGGTGTTATTGATAAACAGGCGCGTTTTTAACTTTCATGTTGGAATTGTATGCAATAAATAATCCCGTTGGGTTTGCTTTTTTCGCAATTATCGTCGACTTGATGACGTCCACTTTTTGATGCAGGAACTAAAAAAAGTAATGGATATCCTGTTACACCAAATGCAACAATGATCTAAAGTAAAATTTTTATTGTATTCTAATAGTCTGGACTTGCCCCCAAAAAATTTTGAGTTATAATACTTTTTGTGAGACCGTAGTGTAATGCTGTGTGCATACGCCTGCATGTGTGTTACTACTGTTTGTGACATATCAGCATAAAGAATGCGTAGAAGTTCAAGTCAAAACAGTAATAATAACAACAACGATGCGATGTCATCAATTGCCACTAACAAGGTATGAGCCTTGAAAGCAAATACGTTCAATTCTATTCTTACGACGATTGATCCATAAAGACTGCATGCCGTGGTGGAGTTGGGGTGGGTTTCAAAGCAAAAGTAGCATCATCAGACATCACAGTTTCTTACAAAATGATCAAATATTCAGACAAAGAGGAATTCCTCAGAAGCTTTGTAAACGAGGTTTGTAATGATGCGTGACGGAACTGCTGTTAAGGTCCATGGAACTCTTTCGAATCACTATATTCTAGCTCAAGATCCATCACATCGTAGAGCAGATGATCATTCCAACATAATTCAATTCCTTGGAATTAACGTGAACTTTTAATAGATATCAAAGGAAGATACTTGATTATGCCAACAATGGTTTATGCGGAAATACCTATCAACGCCAGCTATCAAACTAGATTGGCCTGCCAACTGTCAACTGGGTTCGGATATTGTTAAAGGACTGAGGTATATTCACAAAGCAGGAATCTTGCATAAGATTTAGTAAGTTATTACTCAGTAATACGAATTTAATTTTTTATTTAGAGTAGCTTGTCATTAATATGCTGTTTTCTTACATTATCATCATCATCACAAGTCCCCAAACAAACTTAGTGCAACCCTCTTATTGATGTTCAGTTCTATAAATTTCCATCACGTAAGCCAACAACCACATTTTGATCTTGGTTCTCAAAGCCATACTTTATGGACTTCTTTTTAAGAAGCCTGCCACGTGTCTTCCGACAACTGTGTACGAACATTCCCAAACTGACAGCTCGTGAGTACTCGCGTCTCCGACGTTGCTCGATTTCAACGGCTTATTATTGACGTTTATGTTTTTCTGCTGACAGATGCTCAACAAAGACCGCATAATGTTTACCATTATTATAACACAGCTTTGACGAGAGAAGACGTTTTGTTTGCATATCTGTAGATTCGATAAAGTTAGTGCCGTAAACCCGTGCAACATCAAGGTGCAAGTATCGGTATATCGGATACCTCTAACCATGTCGAAACATGCAATGAAAACGAAAAGTCTGGTAAGGCTTCAGTTACGTCCAAGGTACATCATGGTCAATGGTGTGAATGATTCCTGTCTGTTGTTAAAACATAAAGGTTTATTATTTTTTTCCTTTTACTCGATCGCTACATAGAAATCGCCACACTATAACCTCACGTTATATAACCCTCCTCGACCAACCTTGCACCATTCGCTCCGAGATCTCGGTTCGTTGAAGATAATTTCCCACATCCGATGAAGAATCGAAGCATTGCTCGAAAGCGGGGAACTGCAGGCTTGCTTATACTATCAAGACGGTTTTCCTACATGTTAAATATAATACAAGCCATGAAGGCGAAATTCAAGAAACGAGATAACAGGCCGCCAAACGGTGATCGCGAACATGGTGCCTCCAAAAATAAGAACACGTTTTTGTGTTGATCCAGGCTGCTTATTAGTAAGTGATACAACGGGCTTGTGGAGAATGGACTTGAGAAGAGTGAGAAAGGTCATGTTGGAGAAATAGTTGCTATGTGAATGCACAAATTAGAAATGAAAAGCCATATAGAACATTTGAGAGCTTGGTCGGTTGGGGTGTAGTCGTTATCTGTCGGTATGTATCAGAAAGTTACTTATACACCGGCGGCGAAGACTCGCAAATATTGACCTTTTATCAACAGCTGATAAATTAGCGCTGGAAGAGTTGATCTTTACATTCAACATCTTATAATAGAAAATGATTATTACAACCGTTGCCCAAAAGTGATCAAAGTTCTGAATTCAATATTTGATCTTCAGGCCGCCGCGAAGCTTCAAAGAATACTGTTTCGATGAAACCGAAACTTGTTTCCGAGTCTGATGATTTCGAGGCTCTGGACGAAGACATTCTGGTAGCAATATTACAGATGGATGACATAGTGATGGACAAAGTCGTTATATGGAACTGGGTCATTTGATGGGGGATAGCTAATGCCGAATGCATTAGATGATAAGCCAGGTGAATGGAGTGAAGCAGATTTCAATGCCTTGGGAAATACTCTCTCTAATCTTCTTCCGTTAATCTGATATTCTGATTTCTCTCATGCTCAGTTTATAGAGCGACTCCAACCGTTTTCTCGGATGTTTTATTCTCCCCTGAGAGAAAATATCTTGACCCATTTAAGGAGCCAGCCAGTACTGAATTCAACGCAGCAGAAGCGTCTCTATTAGGCACCGCCACGCTTTTCCGGCTCATTACCAAACAACACGCTAGTCTAGTAACGTCCTGGATAGAGGACGACTCGGCGACTACCTATAAACTTTGCTTATTGTATCGTGCTCCCGATATGGGCTTTCGTCTCCCTATAAAGGACTGGTTATTACCAACATAAGAGTGATCAATGAGACCATTGGTGGGTATTTGTCTAGAGACGATATTGGAAAGAACGATAGTTGCTTGGACAAGCGTGATATACTGTATCCACCGCAAAAGAGAGTAGAATATTGTTCGGTTGTGAGAAATTTCTGCGCGGCTTGAGAGTTGGTTTTTTCTGTTTTGGCGAGAGCGAGTTGAGAATCGGCGGAGCGTTCGATCCAAAAAGTATTACAAGAAATATGCTTACGACGAGCGTCTTGGAGAATTCGGGGGGTGATGAATACGAAGTGTTTGAAGTCATCAGAGCGTAGAGATTGCGCATTAGAAGGAACAGGAACGAATTATGGTGTTGATTTGGGACAATATGATTATAACTAAATAAATTGTATGTCAGGACACTCGCTTATTTTATGTTACAGCGACCATCGTGAATTGTCTTGTCATGTGTTCTTTTGCTAATTCTCTTTTCTTTTTCATAGATTTGAAGAGAATTTGCGTTATGACGACATTTAAACTCGTTTAAATTGTGTGTTGGTTCTGGTCACATGGAGGGTACGGGGGACACAACGAAAGATGCCGAAAGTATCATTTGTTCAATCAGAACGTTGTTTCGCGTGCGTGGTTGGTATGAACATTTGTGTTGTCCGTTAAATTTATGTGCGTCAAAGCTATACAGTAATATCATAGTGTTCGAGGGATTGATGGTTCATCACTTTGTAATATCATCCAGGAGGGGAATGAACCATAGTCTTAGTTCTTACGAATTTTCTTCAATCGGAAGATTTCGAGCAGGTGTGGGCTCTGCTTGGTCGCATTCTAGTCATGAAGCGGCTGTCACGTTTTAATACCATTATTCAAAGTTGAGCAAAAATTGGAGTATGAAAATATGTCGGAGCATACATTCCGGCATTGCAATTGACAATGAAAGCAGCGAGCAACATTCTATTCAGGAGCGAACTCATTGCCCGTTTCATAAACCTTAAATAATGTACTCGCTATATTTTCTTGCACACAATATTCAAATAATCTATCACGACAGAAGCAGCTAACAGTAAATGTGCGCGATTTTATTTCGATTCCTGTTTAATTCAGCTCGTATTGACCTATTCAATTTACTTAATCGGAAGAGAATTTATAAACTGTAAAATAAACCGCGACTTACAAGTTCAATTCATTGAGTGTTTGTGTCACTAAATACAAGCAGCGGAATATGTTAATATCAACATTGTAATTGACTTCATTAAATCAATTGTTGTCTTCATACCTGCAGCTGAATCCAAATCATAGCCAGTAGGTAAGAGTGTACTAGAATATTTACTCTCCTTCTCGAGACGTGACAATGGTTTTACGTCAGTACGGTAGATAGTATTCCATGTGTTGTCATTAGAATAGTCTCTTGTTCTCTCGCGAATATCAATATAAAGTGTTACTGCATCAGGACGCTTATCAGGATCAGCATCACAACACCGCTCGGCAAGTTTCTTGTATTCTTCCGGTGCAGAATCAGGCATCGATGGTCGTAGTCCGCCCATAATATCGCATACTAAATCTCTGTCAAACTGTCTATTTCTAAAAGGTGGCTCACCAGTAGCAATCAAATACATAATGATACCAAAAGAATACACATCCGATTTCTGAGTAAATTTGCAGCTATGAAAGACTTCCGGTGCAATAAAGGGTAAAACGCCTCTAATGACTGAATTTGACTTGCGTGAATTCGCTGACCGAGACAAACCAAGGTCGCATATTAGTGACGTACTATCATTCAAAACAATGTTTCCACCATGTAGATCACAGTGCACTAATCCTGCATAATGAATACAATACAGATAAAGTGCAGTATCTTTCAAATGCCGTAATTTATCCATCCACGTCAATTTGTTAATATTTTGTTCCAAATAAGACAAAAGACTACCATTGTTAGCATATTGCATAACAATCATGTATTCTTTTGTTCCTGGGTCTTGTATGACTCCGTAAATTTTAAGGAATGGATTACGATAACGTGAACACTTGGCATGATTTCTGAACTATTGAATAATAAGTGAATATAAAGTCAGCTTAAATATCACTTTAATTAAAACTACCAATATTAATATTGCTTACCTCAGAAATAAATAATTCTGGTGTTTCATCAAAACTCTTAAACCATTTGAGTACAGCTGTTTCCTCCATACCCTTTACTTCTGTATAATTTCTATATTTGGCAGTATAAACTGTTCCGTAACCACCAAATCCGATCTCTTTCAGTTCATCAAAGTCACTATACTGCATGTATTTAAAACGTTCGTTGTTGCATATAAACCTGTCCAGTATTGCATACACGTCATAATAGAAAACTAAATAATATTCCCAAGTAGATGGATCCTGTGTGATCCCAATTATCCAAATATTGTCAGGTGTTAATATCGTCGGATATTCCTCTGTTAACTAATAAATACAAACAGAATATGATAATCTAATTAGCATGCGATACACATTAATAATATTATTTGCATTTACACTTGAGTATTGAAATAATTTACCTGATGGAAATCATCTCCTTTATCAACTATCTTTTTGAGTGTCACGCGAGTCCCATCCACTGTCCAATCTGCTATATGTGTGCATTCATGGCGTAATGATGTCATTTTTTGTACGTTTGTCAAAAGAGAGTATTCAATCCATTGTATATACGCGTCATGTTCAGTCTTCATATTCTTCCATGATTCCATAATGAATGAATCCAGTGATTTGTTGCCCATAGTCCAACCTCGTAATCTTGGTGCTCCACAATGATAACAAAATAGATTTATCTTGGAGCTTAACCGCCCTGAACACGCCAGACATAATCCATGTTCATCCTCTTCTTTTATTAGACAATATTTCTGTTTGCTTGCTTTGTATGTAAATCCGATGGTAAACCAAACATTCGTGGCAAGAATATCTGGATGTTTATCACATAACTAGTGGAAACGATACATATAATAAGTCAACAATTATTTAAACTATTCAATAAACATAACGCATAAGTAAATAGTTTACCTCGGCATAATATAAATCTTGTGTCTCATCTGTTATCTCAAGTGGAATCAATTTAACAAATGCAGAAGTAGGTAGACCATAATACAAGCGTCCAACTCCATCTCCCCTATCATAAATACAATCGAATGGAATCCATTCCAAATAGACGTCATTTGGTGAGTTTGTTTGTAGTTGAGATTTCTTAATAAAGTCATCGAGTTGGTGATTGTTGCTAGTCCACCCATTGGATAATTGTTTATAACCACAAATGCACCACACGGGACTACATCGGAGTATTCCACATGTGGAGCAGAAGCCGTATCGGGAATAACAATGGTAAAAGGGTTTACGAGCAACCATGTAATAGTTATCGTCATTAGACTTGGTGAATCCAATAATAAGTCTGTTGCGATGAGAAAGCCATTCGGAGTATCGTCTAAAGTTATTATCATTGTTATTATACTTGTGTGTTGGAAGTGAGTATATTCTAGCAAACTCACTCACAAATGTTGGTGTGCATTCTTCGTTACTTCCAAGTAATACCAGCGCTATTGTAAAACGCCGCTTGTGAATAGCGAAGTAAACGTTGTCAATTTGAGTCGGCTTTACGTTGGTGATTTCCTCGTAAGGTATCCATTTCAGTCTTAAGTCTTCATCTTCACTTTTCAATGAGGATTCAATCAAGTTGTCAATTGCTGGATTATTGATAGTCCCAGATGTTAACGACATGGTAATAGTTTTTTTGAATTAAGAAAATTTTTTTCCGGGAACAAATCTCAACCCACGTCAGAGTTTGTAATTCGGAATGTAACACATTCACTCATCACACAATGCAACAAGAAATATAAAAATGTATCGCTTTCAAAAAACGATTCTCATTCCACAGAAGGGATATTAATGTTTTTTACCCATTACGCATGCTCTGTGAGCTAAAAAGGCCGCGTCAATTCGCTTAGGGTTGTAATTTACATTTGATTTAATTTGCCATTTACATTAGGACTTTAAAATGGCTGCAATTTTCAGTATATTGCGTTTAAACATAGTGATACCCGCTGTCAACAATACAGCCAATGAAGTATACAGTATCAAGTATGGACGTGCTTCTATCTCTCTCTTGGTGATGCATTTTTAGTGAATTCGATCGCTGTCCGACATTCCGACTAACTTGTGCACACCGCGTATCGCTTTTGACTCTCTGAAGCGTAGCATAGACTCGCTGCAATACACTTCTCTTCCTTCTTTGGCTTCTCTCACCACCTTGTCAGCCGTACGTGCAGGCCTTGCGCTGATGCGAGAGCAAAGTCATGTTTGCATATAATGGATGTTGGTTAGTATGGGAAGAGAAACATGCTGGAATTTCTGTTGGTGGAAATGTGCGCGGAATTGAAGTATGTGTTATTCGATTATTATTACAAGTAATGAAGTCTGAATGTAGTCAATAGCTTAAAAAGTTCAATATACTCGTACCAATGTGAGGGAGCACGTATGTGATGGTATATACGTGTCAAGTTAGCGTAATAGTGTATATGTTTGGACGTAGAATATGACTGGATTGATATTATGCTGCTACAACGTGATGTTACCTATATTCACCAACGTTCTCTTTCTTTTACTCTTGTACAGACGTCATCGACACAGAAGACTTTAATATCCAGATTGATGTCTCTAATTGTGCATATCACGTACATTTAGGCATTCCGAATTCAACGTTGAGACATTGTTTCCTGGTAATTTCGATTAATGAAGCGTAGGTTATTTCATCTGTCAATCTAGAATCGCTTACATTTTCCGTATCGAGTTATTTATTGATATAGTATAAAAGCTTATTGACAATATTGTTTATTTTTTATCTTTTCTATGGCGCAGGTAAAGAAATTTCCGCACGCATTCTTCCTATCATAGATCATATTCTCCCGTATACGTACCCGGACGTTTCTTACGCGCAAAGCAGATTAAAGACTATTTGGAGCAACTGCATGCATCTGAGAGGAGAGAAGTACAGGATCAAAGAGAAGGTGAAAAATGGATGAATGTGCAAACATTGAACGCGCAAAATCTTCTCGTCGAAGTGCAAAACTGTCTTATTGTCTTATTGTTGCTGTTGTAGACGTTGATGAATATGAATAGCTCTTGGTAAGCACTTGTAATTTACGATCCGTTATACTTCTTCCTCAAGGTATTGGGAGTTGTCATCGCAACAAAGTTGTGCTTTACTAAAGGGTGGATAATTAGCCAACAGTATGAATCAACATCTATGGGTGGGATATTCTCTTTGTCGTCATGGTTGTAAACAGATGTCCGAATAGCATTTTAATGAATTTTTTTACTTAGACTGTTACCATTATGTGGAGCGAAGGGATCAATATTGATGTAAGTATATATGTTATCTCCAAATACTTTTTCACAATACACTGATCTGCAACCCCGAAACAACCCTTCCACAGATACAACGACAAGTACAGTTGCAGCAGCTACTGCTGGTGTCGACCGGTCGCCACATTCGTGTCCACAGTTACATCCACTTGTTTCATTATCAACCTAGAATCGCTTTGACAATCCTCAATTGGACTCTGAGCCAATACTCCATCGGAAATGAGGAACAATTGGATTTGTGGATTATACTGGTGAGTGGGGTGATAAGTTGTTGGTCGAGAGAATATTATTTTTCGGTAACTAATGCAACTTTTATCTTGATTTACATAGCTCGTCCAATCATGATACTTTTCATATACGATAACTGGGCTGGATTTTCGGATATCAGTTGAGAAACTTTCTGTGGATTAGCAGTGGAATTTGCCAGTGGTAATGGATAGATTATTAATGCATTTTGATCTTGAGATGACAGCAATGACCGGTTGATGTGGGTATACTCTACTCAAAGTTGAGCAAAGCAACTTCAAGATGAGTTTTACAAAGCGCTTGCTTGTTATTGAATACTTAACCAAAAAATGTACGTATTTTTCACTGATAATAGTTCCGTGGTTATTTTGTCGTCCGCACTGCGTTGATCGTATGATTTTTCATTCCCAATAAACATAGAACGAATTTATCTTGCGGCACGAACGGTTGTCACACGAGTAACGTTGCCCGTCGCATCATACAACGCGTATGGCTCCACGCCGAGGATTATTTAACGATGGATATGGTCGCACCATTGTGCTGACGATAAGCGTTTAGCAAGAAAACAATGATAGTTGTGGCTTTTCTTTCATCTTTGATATTTTGTTGATGCTATTGGACGTCATACCCACGAAACAATTATATGTAAAAAATAGATATTTCTAGAGAACGATAAAAGATTATTATATCAAGAACGTAACAGCAAATTCCTGCTGTATCGAAAACGTGTTGCATCAGAAACATGTCTCGCGCGCGAGAATTTATCGTTAAATTTATTTATAATTGTGCAATGTTACCATGTTCTTTCCTATGTGATGTTCTCTTTGCAGACTCGAAGGATAAAGCCAATAGCATACTAGAAAAGGAAGCTTCATTGTTTCCGCAAGCGCGTGAAAAGAAAGAGTCGACGATTTCTTATTCCATGATATTGCTCGCTGACATATGAATTATGCACACGTAACATAATGCTGATCTAAAGGAATCTATAGTTTAATTGGCACGAAGTGGACCAGATTAATGATATGATATATCCGAATGAATAAGCGACTATGTGGTCTCATTTTCTTCTGAGAGGTAGTCATGAAATTCATGTCGCATTAATTCATGAGAAAAGCTAAGATCACTGATTTTGGAGTATCTGCAAGTATTACTACAAAATACTACTGCTCAAATCGTCTAGGAGCTAAAGCATTATCTTGACCCTAAGTGCTTTAATGGCAACGATAGTAAATATAAAGGAGATGAAAAATCTGATATTTTTAGCCATGGGATTATCCTATGCAAAATATCCAGTAGAAAATATCCAGGCAATGAATGGGTTCTGCTGGGTCGCATTCTAGTCATGAAGCGGCTATCACGTTTTGAGAATGAAAACGATGTCGGGAAGCATGCATTCCGGTGCCATGAAAGCAGCGAGCAGCATTTTATTCAGGAGCGAACTCATTGCTTGTTTCATAAACTTTAATAACGTACACATTATATTTTTCTTGCACAAAATTGTCTATCCCGACAAAAACAGCTAACAGTAAATGTGTGCGATTTTATTTCGATTTCTGTTTAACTCAACTCATATCGACCTATTAATAATCGGAAGAGATGTAAACTCTGTATAAAACTGTAAAATAAACCGCGACTTACAAGTTCAATTCATTGAATGTTTGAGTCACTAAATTACAAGCAGTGGAATATGTTAATATTAGCATTTGTAAGTTGACTTCATTAAACCAATTGTTTGTCTTCATACCTATAGCTGAATCCAAATCATAGCTATTTCTTAGACCTCCAGTAGGTAAGAGTATACTAGAATATTTACTCTCCTTCTCGAGACGTGACAATGGTTTTACGTCAGTATGATAGATAGTATTCCATGTGTTGTCATCAGAACAGTCTCTTGTTCTCTTGATAAAGAGATTGTGAATATCATTGTAAAGTGTTACTGCATCAGGACGCTTATCAGGATCAGCATCACAACACCGCTCGGCAAGTTTCTTGTATTCCTCTGGTGCGGAATCAGGCATCGATGGTCGTAATCCGCCCATAACATCACATATTAAATCTCTGTTAAATTGTCTATTTCTAAAAGGTGGCTCACCAGTAGCAATCAAATACATAATGATACCAAAAGAATACACATCTGACTTATGAGTAAACTTGCAGCTATGAAAGACTTCTGGTGCAATGAAGGGTAAAACGCCTCTAATGGTTGAATTTGACTCGCATGAATTCACTGATCGAGACAGACCAAGGTCGCATATTAGTGACTTATGACCATCCAAAACAATGTTTCCACCATGCAGATCACAGTGCACTAATCCTGCACAATGAACTTCATACAAATAACGTGTAATATCCATCAAACGCTCTAACTTCATGCACCATGTCAAATTGTTAATATTTTGATCCAAATAAGACAAAAGACTACCATTGTTAGCATATTGCATAACAATCATGTACTCTTTTGTTTTTGGGTCTTGTGTGACTCCATAAATAGAAAGGAAAGAACAACGATCTGAACACTTGGCATGATTTCTGAACTATTGAATAAAAGTAAATATACACTAGTCAGATTATATGTTGATTTAATTATAACTAGTAATATCAATTATTGTTTACCTCTGAAATAAATAATTCTGGTGTTTCATTAAAACCCTTAAACTGTTTGAGTACAACTGTTTCTTTCATACCCTCTACTTCTGAATACTTTTTATGCCTGGCAGTATAAACTGTTCCATAACCACCAGCTCCGATTTGTTTCATATCATAAAAGTCGCTATACTGCAAGTATTCAACATGTTCATTGTTTTGTATAAACCTGTCCAGTATTGCACGTATTTCATAGTAAAAAACTAAATAATATTCCCGAGTAGATGGCTCCTGAGTGATTCCAATTATCCAAATGTTATCAGGTGTTAATATCATCGGGTATTCCTTAGTTAGCTATTTTGAGTAAACAGAATATGACGTTATAGTTATAATGCTGCAATGGTCAATTAAATGCATGATACGCACTTATCAATTGCATTGTTTACACGTATAACTTACCTGATGAAAATTATGGCTTTGTTCATCAGCTATTTTTTTGAGTGTTACATGGGTCAATTCATTCCATTCTGCTATATGCGTGCATCCATGGCGTAATGAGGTCATTTCTCGTACGTTTGTTAATAGGGAATACTCTATCCATTGTATATACACATCATCTGTTCTTGTCATATTACTCCACGATTCCATAATGAATGAATCCAACATCTTGTTACCCGTAGTCCAGTCAAGAGGTCGTGGGGCTTTACATTTGAAACAGAACACATTTATCCCGGGTTCTAATGTTCTTGTACACGCCAGACATAATCCATTCTCACGTTTTATTAGATAATACTTTTGTTCGCTTGCTTTGTATGTAAATCCGATGGTAACCCAAACATCCGTGGTAAGAATAT